AGAAGTCGATTTCATCATCACTATTGACAGTTGCATCTACTTCTTCCATACCACTACAAATAATAAATAACATTATACTCTTGTTTATATGCACATGCACATACACATGTACATGAACATGTTATATGCTAAACTATAACAGCATGCAGTCTCAATGTACATTCATCAAGCACAACTTTTCACAGAGAAGTAATAATACCTCAAATAATGATAATACAAGTATGTATGTTAGATGCACACGTACATGTACAGAAAATTAAGTGAATGATTGATGATACAAAGAGATTACTTAATATTGCTATTAGATTAATATTAATATTAAGGACTGACCCAGGATAGCATTCAGCATAATGATCTTGATCTAAACCACCAAATCCAACATTGTCAGTTTTTGCTTTCTTCATAAGAACTGGTTCTGTCGACTTAGTACTGGAGCTTCTAAACACTGTGGATGAAAGATTAAATCATTTTTATTTATTTGGTTATATTTAATAAAATTTATTGAAGCATCTAAATCAAGTGTACATGCACATCATACTTGCAAATGAGTTTCAATATTTACATGTACATGTATCCAGGGCCGCTCATAGGCTACGTGGGGCCCAGGGCAAAAACTTAGATGGGGCCCCTACTAAATACTGTTACAAATGCCACCTTATAACAGCAGGGGCGGATCTAGGATTTAATTTTTGGGGGGGCAATTGTGAGATGGGAGGGGTAATTAGGGGGTGTGGTCAACTATACTTGTGCAAAACTTTTTGGGAAGTAAAAATTATGAAGACTAAGCCTGCTAAAATAAGCTCCTTTGTGGTTTAAAGATTGTTTACATAGTCCAGTACTGCAGCTGCTTCACAGTTTACATAGGTAAACCAAAGTTTATATTACTCCAGAAAATTTTTAGGGGGGCATTGCCCCCCCCCTGGCTCCCCCCTAGATCCCCACTGTATAACAGTGATTAACATAATGGCACAGCAAGAGATAGTCGTCATGACTTTTTGATTTTTTTTCCTGCAAAAAAACTATACAGTACTTTACTTTTGACCATGGCTTGGGGGCCCCTTTTGATTGGGCCCAGGGCAAAATGCCCCACGTGCCCCCTGCCTATTGGCAGCCCTGCTGTATCTTCCATTTACAAATATTCTCATTATTTGAGGAGGCAATAATTAAGATACATGTACATGTATATACATGTAGTAAAATAATGACTGCCATTTACCATGTCTATCTACTTCCCTTGCTGACCAACCAGAAGGTAATGGACCATCAGAATGAGTCCTCTCGCCCTAAGAACAATAAAGTAATACATATGTACAGTAAAGCTGAAAATTTTGTGGCTAAAAATGTCAGACAATTTAGCAAATTTCAAGAAATCTCCAATAGGCCACAGAAACTTCCAAGTACATGTACGCATACATGTATATGACAGTATAGTTAGGATTTTCCTCCCCACTGAAATGGAAGAAGAAT